AGGCCAAAAGGTCAGGCCAGGACAAAAGGACAAAAGACCGGGTCAAAAGGCCCAACCAGGCCAAAAGTCCAGACCAGTCCAGGCCAAACAGCAAGGGCAAGCCAAAAGACCAGGCCAAAAGGCAAGAGCAGGCCAACACCCAGGCCAAAAGACAAGGCCAGGACAAAAGGCCAGGCCAGGTAAAAAGGCCAGGACAGGTGAAAAGGCCAGGCCAAAAGGCAAGGTGAGGCCAAAAGACCAGGCAAGGCCAAAAGGCAAGGGAAGGCCAAAAAGCAAGGCCAGGTCAGGCCAAGAGGCCAGGCTAGGACAAAAGGCCAGGCCGGGCCAAAAGGCCAGGCCACAGGTGAGGACAGGCTAAAAGGGCAGGCCAGGCCAAAAGGCCAGGCCTAAAGGCAAGGGCAGGCAAAAAGCCCAGGCCAGGACAAAAGGCCAGGCCAGGACAAAAGGCAAGTCCAGGCCAGACCAGACCAAAAGGCCAGGACAGGATAAAATGCCAGGCCAGGACAAAAGGCAAGTCCAGGACAGACCAGGCCAAAAGGCAAGGCAATGCCAGGCCAAGAGACTAGGCCTGGACAAAAGACCAGGTCAAAAGGCCAGGCCAGGCCAGGCCAGGACAAACAGCAAGGCCAGGCCAAAAGGCCAGGCCTAAAGGCAAGGGCAGGCCAAAAGGCAAGGGCAGGCCAAAAGGCAAGGCCAGCCCAAAGGGCAATGCCATTCTAGGCCAAGAGGACAGGCAAGGCAAAAAGGCCAGGCCATGCCAAAAGGCCAGGCCAAAGGGCGAGGCCAGGCCAAAAAACCAGGCCAGGCTAAAGGGCAAGATTAGGACCAAAGGCCAGGTCAAAAGGCAAGACCCCACCAAAAGTCCTGGCCAAAAGTTCAGGCCAGGCCAAAAGGCCAGAGCATAGGGCCAGGCCATGCCAAAAGGCCAGGATAAAAGGCCAGACCACGCCAAAAGGACAGGCCAAGAGACCAGGCCAGGCCAAAAGTACAGGCCACACCAAAATGTCAGGCCAAGAGGCTGGGCCAGGCCAAGAGGCTGGGCCAGGCCAAAAGGCAAGGCTAAAAGGCCAGGCTGAAAGGCAAGGCAGGGCCAGGCCAAAAGGCCAGACCAGACCTAAAGGCCATGCCAAAAGGTGAGGTCCAGTCAAAAGGCAAGGCAAGGACAAGACAGAACAAAAAGCCTGGCCAGGACTAAGGGCCAGCACAAAAGGCCAGGCCAGACAAAAAGGCCAGGCCAAAGGTCAGGGGAGGCCAAAAGCCCAGGCCAAAAGGCAAGGTGAGGCTAAAAGACCAGGCCAGGTCAAAAGGTAAGGGAAGGCCAAAAGGCATCGCCAGAAGGCCTGGCCAAAAAGCCAGGCTAGGACAAAAGGCCAGGACAAAAGGTCAGGACAGGCCAAAGGGTCAGGCCAGGCCAAAAGGCAAGATCAGAACAAAAGTCCAGGCCAAAAGGTTAGGCCAGATCAAAAGGCCAGGCCAAAAGGCAAGGACAGGCCAGTCCAGGCCAAAAGGCAGGACCAAGCCAGGCTAAGAGGCCA